TGGGATTTGGGATGTTGGATTAATGCATGAATCAATTTATTGGTCCTTTGCTGTATCCACACTCTTTTCCACATGACTTTGAAACTCCTCCAGGGAAAGAGAAGAGGCTCGCCGCTGGACTCTGAGTCGATCCACATGACTGCCGATGTGAGCAGAAACGATGCAGACAGAGGTCTGAAGAAGCGCTTGCTGGGCTTTGGCTGCCCTCTTGCACCTTGGCCACCATCATGAGAATGTGTCCGGGCCACCCTCCCTGAGCAGGGGCAGAGCCACATAAGTCATTCCAGCTAAAACCAGCCCAGATCATCCCTTATCCAGCCAACTCCCAGACAGATGGGTGAACTCAGCTGAGACTAAAAGAACCTCCCACATCAGTGCAAATCACTGACTCCTGATCTAAATAAATGCTGAGCTCAAAAACCAATAATCCACGAGATTTGCTGTCCGTTGTTACACAGTGTGATGTGGCCATGGACAATTGATACAAGTACCAATTGTTCACTCACCCTACTTCTAGGAAGGAAGAGCCCTCAGTTTTCAGGTGGGAGCCAGCTCTCCCCTGTTCTTAACCCATGGGGTGACATACCTCTCCACTCCCCCACACCCTGCTATTCCCCAACATAGTCCATCTTATTGCTCTCACCACAATGACTTTTTGGGGGGTAAGTGCAGGATGAAGCAAGCCAATCAGAGCAAAGCCTGGGATATGTATAGAGACAGGGGAAGCCAACAAGATCAATAATCTCAAGCTTTCTAATTCATACACTTAACAGCCTACTATACAACAAGTTCAAAGATATCTTACTGGCTAGAAACACCACTGGGTCTAGAATATAGGTCTCCAGACTTCCATCTGGCTGATTTTCTGTTTCCAAGTCCTTTAGAAAAGACAACACTTCCTTCAGATTCTAGGCCCAGCTTAATTTCATAATTTATTGACCCAATGCATGTTGCATGCCTACTGTGTGCTGTGGGCATCATGCAAGGTGGCTTTGGAAGGAAAGCATCCAGTTGGCTTATGCACAGAGGAACCTACTTTCAAACTAATAAAATGTTTATTGCAACTCTGATGCAATGGCTTTTTCTGAAAATCAGAGAACCCTCTCCACTGGTTCCTTTCATGTCCTGTGATCCCAAGGAAGCTCATCCAAACTCCAGTGCTTGCTGTGTGCTTTTCAAAAGGGCTGAACTCGAGAGCAGGTGGGATTTGATTTTTATTAAAAAAAATCACCTCTCATCACCTCCTGTGCTCCTCCTGCTCTGTATCATACTGCTTGCTACCAAACCAATAACCCAAATCAGAAAATTGTGAGAGCCAGAATTTCAAGTAATGTTTTAAGGTGGCCTTCAGGTGGAAGTCTCTCAGGACATCTGCAGGCTGTGTGCACTCCAATGGAACTATAACCCAATTACACGTTTTCTATTGCTTTGTGCCTTCAATGTTTCTGGGACTAACACTTCTTACTGGGCTACATCAATTTTCTTAGAGGGAAGAAAGAACTAGAATTCGTTGAATACCTACTGTGGGCTAGACACTGTTGTACCCATTTCCTCTACACGATCACATTTACACCCTCTTAAAGAACGATGGTAGGGCAATTTCATTCTTTCCATGTGGCAGATGAAGGAACGTGAGGCCCAGAGATGTTGAATAATTACGCTGTCAAGTCACCCCGCCGTTGCTAATAAGTAGCAGAGCAGGAAAATCAAATCCTAGAGTCCACCTCCGATGCTGGCATCTTCTAGCTACAGCCCAATTCAAAACATCACGAGGATGATCATTTTATTTCAGCAAACATGAAAAACACTCATGTTGGGCAGAATGCTGGCAGGAAAATTGGTACTATAGTGCAAACTGTGCACTTAGGATAGGGTAGGTGTACACTGCACTGTACATAAGAATCACTCAGAAAGTGTGTTTAAAAAAAAATCAGGGACCCCACATTCCCAAGTTCCAGGTGCTTAGGATTGTTGGACCCTGGATTTACATTTGTAGCTGGTTTCTCTAGTGGGACTGGGTCAAGTCCTTGAGCCCCTCTTTGAGGTCTGAGTCCTGGTCCTGTGAGATGCAGTTTTCTTGTGTGGTTTTAGATAACCGCAGTCATCTCAGCGGGTCCCAGTGTGCTAACCTGAAGAAGCAGAAAGCTGAGTGAAGTGTATTTCTTTCTAAAAGACGCCTTCACAATGGTAAAGAATTATCTCTGCAGCAGAGGTGAATGGAGACATAGTGAGTACTGGATTTCTTTCCAGTATTTAGCACCTACTCTATACCAAGTCCCGTGCTAAAACCTTAGTTACATTACTTTATATCATTGCTCCCTCAAACCCAATGGAGAGTGGAGACGGATTGTCTCCTATTTCAGCAAAAGTAGAAATGGAAGTTCAGAGCATGTGAGTGACTTGAGCTTATGGCCTGGTTCCAGTCAAAACCAGAGCAATTAAAATCACAGTGTGATGATGGCAGTTTCCCCCAAGTTCAGGGCTCCAACATAGCTCTGGACGGTACAGATGCACATCTCAAAATAGATTTCCAAAAGCATGCTGCAACTTGATTACGATTGTCCACTGGGCTTGAAGTGGTGTCTTTCTTTGGTTGGTTTTAAACAAACGTGCCAGGAGTTCCCAAGGTGGACAGGGGTGGGTCAGCAATAGCAACCATGAGGGGGCAACTTTCAGGGGAAGCCCCAGGTCATGAAAAATCGACAGTGTCCCACCAGCCTGATGTTGGCCATTTCCTGTCCTGGCAGAAGCGGCTGTCTTCCAAAGCAAATAGTAGTCAATGAGTCTTACATCTTCAGGGACCTTGTCCTCACTGCCACCCTTCCTTATCCAAACTCCCCAGGTGACACCCCCTTCCTACCAACTCCTTAGCCCATGCCCTGTGTTCTCAAAGGGCATCCCCAGCAACATCCATGCCACTGGTTATAAAGAGGTTAACTGGTTTGCCTTCAGAGGGAAGAGATCTGATGTCAAAGGTGTTTGGGAAATGAAAGGTGTTTGGGTTAAACTGTTTAACGTTTTTGATTACTGCAGGCTTTTCTGGAGCTACAGGATCTTGCTCACTTGATGGTAGTAATAGCAAAACACCAGGAGAAAGGTGCACACGCTTACCACTCACCCTATCCCAGGGAGTGGGCCACCTGTTGTAAATGTTACCTTCGCAACCATCTAGGAGGCAGGTGGTGTGATTGTCCTTATTTTTCAGGTCATGAAACAGGGGTTCAGAGAGGTCAAATAACTTGCTGAAGATAACAGGACCAGCAAATGCTGGGGCTGGGATTGGAACTCAGATGTGTGGGAGTCTAAGCCCTCACACTCGGCTATGTCGCCTTTTAAAGGAGGTGGCCAAAGGTGGGAGGCAGGCCCACACAAACCCCCCAACCTTGTTGTACTTCATCTGCATTCATGGTCTAGAGATGGGGTAGACAACACGAGAGAAAGAGAGTGACCCCAAAGGCCCTTGGGCCTGACCATCTCTGGGACTCCTTTGCTCCTCTCCAGACACTGCAAGTTAAGTAAAAGTGCCTTTAGCAGTAAAAGTGCAGGGCAGGTGAGGTTAGCCTGTTTGGGTAGAGAACGGCTTTCAGACCCTTGCTTTTGATCTGTCCTGAAATATTTTCTAAAAGCATCTGACAGTAATCTGCTCTAAGGACAGGGAAGCAGTCTGCCTCCAAGTGCTGTCACGGGATCCTAATGGCTTTGTTTTTCACAGGGGAGAGGAAAAAAAGTTTATGCCTCTCAAATTAGCAGGTCTGTCATGTTCCAAATTGTTTGCATTTCTAAAAATGGACTTTGACATGTGAATAGTCATTAGCTAATGTAAGACCCAAAAATCTGTTTCTTTCAAGGGGACAACAGGGTGATCAGGGGATTCTCATTAAACAGGTGGCTCTAAAGCTCTCTTCCTCAGTGTGAGACTACAGTGACCTTTTGGTATTCTACAACTCAGTTTTTATCTATTTATGTATTTATTTATTATGAGTCTTTGGGACCCTGGTCAAATTCCCCTCCTAGAACCTTAACCCTCAGAAGGATACCTAGAGACCCCATCCACGGGTCTTCGGCTCCAGCAAGACTTCTCTACTGCAGCAAAATGATAGGTGTGCTGGCATGTGCTTCTGTGGCTGCAAAGTGAGACCCCTGGGTCCCTTGGTCCCTTCTTCCTATCATATCCACTCATTCAGAACACTGCACGTTCTTCTCTCCATCTGCTACCACCCCAGAGCAGATCACCACCCACCTACCAGAGACCCCAGTTGGTGCCCTCAAGTCCAGTTCACCTTTCCTTAATCCAGTCTCCACTTGGAAGTCAGATGATCTTTTGAGTAGACAAAACAGCCAAGCTGTATCCTGCCTAGAATCCTGCATTGTCTTCAACTTCTGTCAGTTCAAGGTCATTAAAGGATGCTACCTCTACCTCCTTGGGTCAGGTAGTTCCTTCCCACTATCAAATCTAGCAAAGCGTAAGGAATGAAGAAGAACGTTTCGGGTCCATCCTGAAAAGAGCTGTTCCCTTTCTAACTTTAGAGTTAGGAAGACACGGGTGCAAATCTCAGGTCTCCCATAACAGCTCTTAGGCAACAACTTGGTTGTGTTTATCTCCCCCTCAGAAGTTATGTTATTTCCCCTACATTAAAATAGTCTGTATTCTGCCATTTTTGCTTCTGTAGAATTCTGAGGAAATTAAAAAAAAAAAAATCCACATCTCCAAGATGTCTTACCTGGGGTGGTTTCTGATAGAGGACTTCTCCTTCAGGCAAGGGATGTCAGGAAGCCACTGTCCAACAGTTGCCCTGAGCATAGACACCCCACACCCCGGCCCACGTGCACACACACAAACACTTATACATGGGGACTTAGAAGGACTTGCAGGAAACCACTCGAGATGAACACAAGTGTGCACTGGGTCACATATAGACACCTGGACTCTCTGTTCCTTTATGATTTAATGTTAAATTCGACAACACCTGGACAAAGAGCTAGAAAAAGCTGTACGATACCTTTTGGTGACTTAAGGGTAAGCGTCGCCACTGCCCAGTCACCATCAGAATTTCCTAAAAAAATAACAATCGAGAGATGCTGATTTGTTGGCCTTGTACCCCTCGTCTGCTGTTGCCCTCACCCAACTGCTGTGGGCTGCCCCAGCTGTGACCACGAGGAGGGGCAGACCTCAAGGGACCCAGGGAAGAGACCCCCCAAAGTGCCCGGGTATTGTCAGGTCTACATGGTGGAGAGAGGGTTCTAGAGTTCTCAGGCAGTAAGCCCAGCTTTACATTTCAACTTGTTATAGAAGAAAGCAAAGTTTGAGCTTTGTGAGGTCACTTTGATTAACAACTACACTCTGATGACAAGAGATAAATTTTGATCCTATTTTGTTGTCATTGCTTTCCGGAAAGGGGACACCTGATTCCAAATTCAAGTTCCAAACTCCTGACTTGGACAGATTCTCCTGGCTGTAACTTTAAAGACTGGGTGGGATAGGGCCTGCCTTCCCAGAGCACCAAGCCCACCGTGCTTGAAAAATACTGTTGAATGAATGATCAGATCCAATATTCTCCAAAGGGCCATTCTTTCTAAGGTATGGAAATTTCCCTAAACACTAAAGAGATCCAGCTTGTTATCTGAGAATTCCATAATGAGCAATGCAATGCTTCATGGAACCGATGTATACCTGGAAATTCTGTTATAAATCAGTTTCTTCAAATTGAACCCTCTTTCAGATGTACTGAATGAGCCCTTGAGGGAATCTCATATTATTAACGGGATCCCACGGTGACTCCTTTTATAAAATAAAAGAAGATGAGAAGGGCCTCAGCAATATCCGCCCCTTTCCTTGGCAGTCCTTGGTAAAACTGGGTTTGCTTAAAACCCGGCTACCAATCTGTAAAAACCTCTCCCCATTGGCTGGAGGCCTGGCCAATCAGTGAGTGCTGCTGGCTCTCCTGTCCCTTCTGGGGAATCTACCTGGAAAGACTGAGGCCTCCACACTTTTGCAGTTTCCAGAGACACAGCAGGCTGTCAGCTGAGAGTAGACCCACGGAACAGTGTGTGATCTGAATGATTACAGAGCACAGATCCAGCCCCACTTAAACGTTTCTGGTTGGCTTCCCAGGCATGCCAAAGGACACTCAGATTGCCATGTTCCCCCTGCGATCTGAAGTCTACACCCTCATTACTCAGCAGAGGGGAAATTGGCGTGACAGGAGGAGAGCCATGCAGTTAAAATTAAGTGAGACCCGCCTGGGATGACCGCGTACTCCTTCTCCCTTGGAGTCAGGGTCATCTGGAAATAGCGATGGGTTCTCAGATCTTCCTGAGCTGATAGACACAAAGCTGACCCATCCCCAATCACTACCTCCAAAGAAGTCATCCTACCCGCAAAGGAAACCCGTTGTCGGCCTTGAAGGCAGGAACCACTCCTTTGTCACCTCTGACCCTACACCTAAGACAGGGCTGATCTCTGGCCAGGCAGTAATGAATTTTCTTTCATAAACCCGTTGACAATAGTTAATCAGATGGCACACAGGCCACCAACATGTATTTAAGTCCTTACTCTGTACTCAGTGGCACTAGTGCACATCAGATGAATATTTTTTTGGGTGAAAAACACCCACTAAAAGGGATAAATCTGAGTTATACAAAGAAAAGGGCTAAGAAGGAACAGTCAGTGTGATAAAAATATTCCTGTCTTTATTGGGACATTACTCAAGTGAAGCATTTTTCAACAACCCTGCTATTGTAAAGTTGGGAGGGGTGTATTTCATTGTATGTAAATTATCCCTCGACTACTGTATGCCTCAAATCTATTATATCTTAGTTATACTCAGCATCATGGGAAAACTTTTACTTCAAAGAAAGACGATTGATACTTTAGTACACTTCATCCAGGAAAGGGGTTGGGGTAGAGGATGGATTCCCGGACCTTTCTTTTGCCTGGCTGTATACTCTGGATGCCAGGAATTGCTCTGAAGAAGACAGAATCATTTCATGGAAAGAACAAGATTTCTCAGTCAGGCAATCTTGAATGTGAAGCCAATTACTTAACTGTACAAACCTCAGTCTCCCCATCGGCAAAACAGTAGGTCTGTCCCTCTTGGGGGTGTGCTGTTTGGGAGCTCAGTGGTGTTAACCTCCTTTCTTCCCTAACTTTAAAAATATAAAACAGGTAGAGATCGGTCGATGGCAGAGAGCTTCATATGTCTCTTTGGGGTTTTCACACATACTCCCTACAGCAAGGCTGAAGAGGGAGGTCCCACCACATCGAAATGGACTGTTGCTGAGGTTTTTTTAAAAAATGCTGTTGGAAAATGTAACATGATTCTGGCAACAGAGTCAATCATCTGTCAAATAGCAAAAGAGAAAATATTTTCTCAAAATTAAAATATTGAACTTAAAATGAAGACACACAGCATTTGATCAGTGATATTGGTACACTCTGCCTCTTTCTTAGAGCCAAGGTGGCATGGAGCCATCTAAAGGGCACATGGTCAGGAAGCTCTGGTAGCCTAGGAGTTCAGCTCCCTGAAAGCCAAAGGAAAACTGGACCAGGGGCTGATGGAAGACAGATGTCCATGTGTAGGCACCTTCCCGTGTGCAACGTCCATCAGGAAGTACATCAAAGAGTGGCATTTCAAGCTCTTGAAGCAGGGGCCCTCCTCTCTACCACCAGATGCCTTTGGGGGTGCGTTCACAAACACTTCTGTCTTGCTAACATGGACCTATGAAGAACCACAGATGGTTCTCACACTGTAACTATCCATCACACAGGAGGCTCAGGCCAGAGACCGCGGGTGTTTAATTTGGTCTTCCAGATACATTTTGGCTCAATGCATAAGACACACTTCTTGACCTCAACTTTGGTAGAAAATGTTTCCAGACTGTTTAAACCCACATTGCAGCCTTAGAAAGGAGGGTTCATTAAGCGACAGAGAAGCTTTCTTTGATGGAAGGTAGCACTCAGACATCTGGACATCCACTTTTCTTGTCCAGACAATAATAGCTGGGGAAAGTGAAGCAATTGGGTCTGACTCTGCTAGTTGCTGGGATGCTTCCAAAGAGCCATTTGTTGTTTGTTTTCTTGTTTATTTGTTTTATCGCATCCCAACGTGAGCTAAATTTTATGTATGTCTTTCCCAAATAAGTGAGGAATACGGACCCAACCTTCTCTCTCTCTCTCGTATAAAATGAAATTTGGGCAATCGCATGTTAATCAAGGCACCAGAATATATTGGAGAATAAAAGAATATGAGGAGCAAACACCTCTGGTCTGGAGAGTTTAACGTGCTGCAGTATTCATTGTGTGCTGGGCTCAGAACTTCACCAGCACTGTATCATTGACTTCTCCAAGTCATTAGCTGTGTAGTATGATTGTCTCTGTTTACAGATGGGGAAACTGAGACTGAGACCTGAGGAGGCTCAGTAATTTCTACCATTACTTGGTACATTCTGCCTTCCTGCTGACCATCTCAGCCTCCTGAGTTAATATGGTGCCTATCACGAGAGCTGGTTTTACAAATAGTTATCAGGGGGTGCTTACTTAGTGCCTCCTATGGGGCTTCATGCAGGGGATACACTGACACTTGGGATAGACCTTATCCATGTCTCAGTGGGGCTTACAATCAAGGGACTCATTAAATGTTTGGAGAATGAAATGAAGGAATCAAATTGAATGAATAATTCTTCCCCAGCATCCCTTCTTGAAGAGTCCTATATGGAGTTGCCCCAAGACATTTCCTTAGTGTGTGCTAATCTTTTACCAATAGCTGAGCAGTGAACCCTTTGGGGACAGAGACCATTCTGTAGTCACACACTAAACATGACCAGATGGTGTGTGCCCAGATCCCTGAATCGTAAAGATAAAAGAGCTATCTCTAAACATGAATGAGGGTGATTCCAACAAGCCAACAAAAATAAAATAAATGGGAAATACAGGAAGGTAGGTCTGGGGAGAATTTATCTCAGGAATGACCAAGGTTACCACCCTTTCTCTTTTTTTTCCCAGAATTGGCAATGAATGATGGGACCTGTATAATGGCCTACAGGTATTCTGATAATTAGAACAAATGGAATTGCTTAATTTTATAATTGTAAAATTAGAATGGAGCTTGGGAACCATATCATTTGACTTCCTCATTTTTCATGTAAAGAAGTTGAAGTCCAAGCATTTCAATGATGGGCTCGACGTCACAATTAAGTAAGGTCAGAGCCTGGGCCAAGATGGAGCCTCTGATTATACACCTGATGTTCTGCATATTAAATTCTCCAAGAGGCATTTATTTTCCGAACTTAGCAGTTCACCCTAGAGGCTGGCTAACCCTTCCCTTTTTCACTGGATTGAATTTTTACAAAATGAGTCTAGTTCTGAGAGGTTGCTGGGCTTTCAACAGCAAGCCATTTTTAAACAACTTCTCTCCTGGGTGGTAATGATTCCACTAATGAAATGCATTTCATCATTCACACCATGATCACATTATGCCTTAATAAAGAACCCTTGAAAGAACATTTATTATGGGATTTGCAGTTCACTGATACAAGCAGATGCTGGACTCTTAGATAACCATTGGGTCAGGCGATTCCTTGGTCTGCTTCAAATTGGCCTTCCTCTTACTGGAGACTCATAAGACAACCTGCGACTCAGTTAAGGCCCAAATAAAAGATGAAGAAGAAGAGCTCATAGCAATGTCCAGGATTTAGAAAGGTCCCTCAAATGAGATCCTTCAGTTTTCCAGAAAATATAAGGATGCTTCCTTACAACCAGCTATTCTTGTCAAAAATAAGTTAATTCATTCATGCAACAAACATTTCAGGAGCCCCTGATTTGTGGAAGAAAGGGTTATACAAAGGATGTCAAATTTATTTTGATATTGCAAATTTACTCCCAAACATTCTGCAAATATCTGTTATCTAAGGAGTCACACAAATCCTGGAGAGAATCAAAGAGCTCTTTTGGAATATCCATCTATTGTTTATCCAAAGAGCTACTGAGTGCTGGGGGGAGGTGACTCTGAACCCAGGTTGCAGAAATGAGCTGTATGGGATAGGGTGACTGGTTCTAAAAGAAAATGACATCTGGGTTGATATTTTCTATGCCTAAAGAAGAATCAAATATAATGGTGGACCCCATTTATCATTGAACTGCAAAGCTCAGATATGGGCCCTGGGCGAGTTGCCCCTGCTCTGCTGTGATCGTGGTGTCGGGCGTCCACAAGCGCGTGCTGCTGGCCTAGGGAGACCACAGGTAGCCACAGCCAATCAGGAATCAGGGATTGCCAGCTCTGCTGCGGCTGTTGCTCCAGTCCAGTGAAACTCTTCTGGGAGTGAACTGCCCAAAGCCTGGATCACTGTCAGAGTTACTGTCACCCTGAGTAGGGGTGTGTATGGGGGGGGGGGGTGATGGTGAGAGAGCTGGGGCAGTGGGGCAAGTGTTGGCCCTAGCACCCTATGACCACACAGGACCCACTCTCAAGCTCTGTCACCCCCTGCTGTTGGATTTGGGGCAGTTAAATCAGCTTCTTCTGAGCCTCAGCTTCCTAATCTGACAACTGGGATGATAGCTGTGCCTTCCTCTGGATCAAGGAGACAGCATCCAATGCAGCCTGTGTGCCCATGCTAAGAACTGCTGCCCTGCCCAGAAAATCCTACATCTCAAAGAACAGAGGCCACCCAAGGAAGGAGTGCATTGTCGGCCATCTTCCCAGAGGTGGGATGGACCGTGCAGGGGAAGGGTGTCAACCGCTAGAGCGGGAGGCATTGATGGGACTGACAGACACGCCTTCTATGTCTGGGCCCCCTGCAGACTCATGAGGGCAGGTGGGGTGTGAAGGGGCTATGTCAGTGGGAACAATGAGCATCCAGGTCCTCCTCCCCAGGGAGCAGCCTGTACCCCACGGGGGTCCCTTCATGACCACCCTGCCCCACACAGCAAGATCAGATTTCAAGAGCATCAGTGAAAGAATCTGAAGGACTCTGGGCCCCAGATAGGGAGAGTAAGAAGATGGATGATAGATAGATAGAGGAAAAGAAAGAGATGAAGGAGAAACGAAGAGAAAAAGAGATAGAGGAAGAGAAAAAAGAGAAATTGAAAAAAGAGTAGAGAAAGCGAAAGAGATTTAGAAGGAGAGAGCAAATAAAGGAGAGACACAGGGGAGAAGGAGAGCAGAGGTCCCGGGAGGCCTTACCGACTGCCTTTAGGGAGGCGTACTTGTTGAGCTCTTTGCCCGGTGGCTGCTGCTCGTAGGGGTTGGAGATCTGGCCCAGGTTGGGGTAGGAGTGCGGATGGCCCATCTGCTGGAGCAGAGGAGAGGTGGGCACTGCGTTGTTCATCTGGGTGGTATCTGAAAGTGAAGAAATGGAGAGGAGTCACCGACAGGGCAGAGTGTTCTTCCCAGCCCCAGTATCTCTCCCTACCCTTTGGGGACATGCGTGGCAGAACACCAGAGGTGTGAGACCCGTCAGAAACAGCCAACTCATGATCTGAGAACAGGTCGGGGACATGGCCTCAAAAGGCAAAGCACGTGCTCGGAACGTCTCCACCTCCCCTAAGTTAACATGCGAAGGTCCCATCATGGCGGAGATTGAATTTGTTGTCAAAACAATACTGGTATAAAAAGATGCTCAACCTCAGTTAATAGTCAAGGAAATACACATCGAAAGAACAATGAGAAACTGTTCCTTTGCCAAAAGTTTGACATTAAAAAAGATCACAGGACACCAGAGCTGGCAAAGGTGTCAGGGACAGAGAGGCCTCATAAGCTGCTGGTAGACGTGGGACTTGCTATGTTTGCAGAAAGGAGCCTAGCACAGTGTATTGAAACTTAAAGTACATGTATATGCTGGCCAGACAGTACTACTTCTGGGGACTGAGGGTATAGAAATATAAGCACCAGAATGTAAGGATATTTGTTCAGAGATGGTTTTTGCACCACTGCATTTGTTATATGGGGAAGAAAACCCACAAGAACAATCTGAATTCCTATCACATGGGAATTCTTAAAAAAAAAACCTATTGTATTTATATAATATACATAATATGTACAAACATATGATGTAATATCATGTAGCTATTAAGAAAAAATGAATGAAAGTTGGTTAACTCATTTTTAAGTATGTCAAGCTGGAGCATTTATTATGATTTATGTTACTAAGTGGAGGAAACAAGCTTCAAAGTAATGCAAATAATAGAGCATTTTTCTTAAAAGAAAATCTATGTCTATTTTTGTGTGCTATGGTTAGCACAAAACAGAACAAAATGTATAAAGACATACATATTGAATATTTGCTACTCAGGGGGAATGGAATTCATGGGAGAGGGGTTCCAGAAGTTTCATCTGAGGTAGAGTCCTTTGAGATGTGATCTGGAAGAAGATGAGAGTGTCAGTGAAGCGTGGTGGAGAGAGAAGGCACTAGGGAGGGTGTTCCCGGCAGAGGAAAGAGTGTGGGACTTGCAGCTGGGGAACCTGATGCCCAGGGGTGGAGAGAGCGGCCCCCACAGCCAGCCGAGCATGGCTGGAGAACACAGGGAGATGACAGTGGAGCAGGGTAGGGCTGCAGAGGCAGGCAGGACCCAGCAGGGCTTGTTAGGGGACCTCTTCTTCTTGAGAGCAATGGGTTGGAAAGGCAGAGGGCAAGAGTGAAATGGGAGACAGGAAGTCCAGGTGAGATAATGATGGCTAATTCAGGACAAGATCCAGGTTCTCTCCAGCTTTATGACACAATGGTGTTGATCCAGGCACTCTTAGCACTCAATACTGGAAGAACCTTGAAAGATCCCTGTACCTGGTGTCTGTTCATTTCTGAGCTACTGAGGGCGTTGGTTGCTAACAGCTCACAGCCACCTGTGGTTATCCACAGACTTGCTCTCAGCCGACCAAGCCACAACCCTGGGCTTAATGCACTCCATTCACCTTACCCTCAGCACCTGGGGTGGTTGCCAATCAACACCTGTCTGACACTTAGGTGCAAAGACCAGCCACTTGCCTCCAGGTGGGGATAACTGGAGCAATGGCTGCTCAGTGTGAACTGTGGGTTGAGGCAAGTTAGAGCTGGGTTGTCAAAGAGTCAGAGAGTAAATATGATAGGCTTTGCAAGCCACGCAGCCTATGTTACAACTGTTGTACTCTGCCACTGTAGTATGAAAGCAGCCCTACATGTTATATGAATAGGTAGGCATAGCTGTGTTTTAATAAGCCTTTATTTGTAAACAGGTGACATCAGATTGGTCCAAGGGCCATAGTTTGATCACCCCTGGCCTAGACTTTACCTGAGACCACGATCTTTGTGTGGTTCCTTTGTCTTTCCTATTGGGTTTCCCTTGAGACAATGTTAGAGGTATATCTATTACCAGCACAGCACCTGCCTCAGAGTCACATGCACCTGAACCCCTCTCCTTGCCTCTGCTTCTAGATAACTCACCCCGTGACATGTATGGAGCATGTTTAGTTTTAGAAGTCAATAAACCCAGATGGAAAGATCTGGGGATGCTATAGCTGATGCACAAATATAAGGACTGCATTTTAATCACTGTACACGCCTGGGCCACCACACAAATCCAAACAACGAAAGGGAATGTCACCAAATAAGCCAACTAACCCAGCCTCAGGGCGTTTTGGCTGAGATTCCACTGGGGTAGCAGAGTGCTGGCATAAATGAAGCAATGGTAGAAAAAGTGTCGATAAGTGGTATGGTTTGGATGCGAGGTGTCCCCCAAAAGCTCATGTGTGAGAGAAATGCAAAAAGAGGCAAAATGATTTTTTTAGCTGTAACCTGACAGATGAGTTGATCCACCTGAATGGATTAACCAGGTGGTAATTGTAGGCTGGTAGAGTGGGTCCAGAGGAAGTAGTCCACTGGAGGCAGGCCTTGGGGGGAATATTTTGCCCCCAATAAGCAGTGCACTCTCGGTGTCATGAACTGAGCACTTTTCCACCACTACACCCTTCAGCCATGGTGGCCTGCCTCATCTTGGGCTCAGAGGTATGGAGTTGGCCGACCATGGACTGAACCTCTGTAAATGTGAGCCAAAATAGCTTTTTGTCCTCTAAGTTGTTCTTGTTGGGTATATTAGTGACGACAAAACAAAGCTGACTAAAACAGCAAGATGTGGCTTTCACTGTAGCCTGAACCCTGAGATGCCCTGATATTCTCCTCTCCAAAGCCAGCCTGCTGGGCTTCTGCCTGCTTCCCCTGGGAATGTCAGGCCAAACACATTTTTTCCCCCAAATGTTGGTCCAGTGATAAATAGTTTGTCTAAATTGTCATTATTTGCTACTCTGAGTTTTTTTCTAATGTATTTTTCAGCTACTGATAGCAGCTAATTTTGAGTATTTAGAACCTACACTAAGTCCCATCAATTGAGGGACAGCTTCTGAGTGACATTAATTCCTCAGCTCTTCCAATTTGCTGTGTCCATGAGCCAAGTGAGCTCCAGTGGCCAAAGACACCCCTGCTTAGAGATGTAAGAGCCAGCCATTGCAAAGCAAGTAAATCTACTCCAAAAAGGTAAGAGTCCAAATACATAATTACACCTCTGTTCATAGAAGTGAGCAGGTAACCCAATTAGTAATTCCTTCTCCTCACAGTGACTGGTCTGGCAGGGAGCCCATGATCTAGACTGAGCCAATGCGATGTCTTCCATGATTTTATCTGGTTGGAGCTATTGGAGTCAAGGAGCTAGGAGGCCATGAAGTCAAGTGACCTTGAACTTACCATGTGGAGAAACTCTTTCTTGATTATGAAAGAATAAGGACTGCATCCACTTAAGAGAAGCTAAAGGGATAGAGAAGTCCCCTTCTAAAAAGCTAGTGTGCTTTGGCTTCCTGTCACTTGCAACAGAGAGTTCTGAATAACACAATGGTGTTGGGATTCCTGCTGGGAAGCTGGAACAGGCTGGAATCGGCTGCCCCGGGAGCTCTGGTGAAGAGGGCAAAGCTAAGGGAGGCATCAAGATGGCAAAGCTGTTGCCCCTGTTTCCACAGAGCTGCAGTAGACACTTTCCAGCTGAGGAGGGTGGACAGGGCAGGATGGGGAACGATGTAAGTTGGGATGTTCTACTGCACAGTGGACCACAGGAGTCAACCATGATGTTCTATTTCAGAATAGCCAGAAGAGAGGATTTTGCATGTTCTCACCACAAAGAAATGACCCACGTTTGAGGCCATGAACAGGATGATTATCCTGATTTGACCATTATACGTGTATACATGTATCACCACCCCCACTGTATCACACTGATACACACAATTATTATGTGTCCATTAAAAATAAAATACAACTTTAAAGATTTGAGTGGTTCAGTGAATGTCTAAAAATATCGATAAACTGATTAACTCATGGCTCAAAGGAAGGTCTTTTTTCCATCCCCCCTAGAAACAGATCTCAATCACTAGCCCATCCACTTAGAATGGACTCCCTCCAGGTCTCTCCTCCAGGGTAAGCCAGTCACCCATCGCTTTGTCCCTCAGTCCCAGACCTCGACCACTGTGCACAATTCCTGTTTCCAGGCCTGCCTAGGGAGCCGCTAACCACTTCATTAGAAGCAAAAAGTCTGCAGAGATGTTCCTCCCAGGACATCTTGGGAAAGCTTTTATATTATTAAACAGAATACTTAATATTCCATTATAGGGTATTTGCTTTGAGATTATTTCTGCCAAGCCCTACACTACCTCAAGGGCAGTGAGTCGTTATTTAATGTAAGTAAGTATGACCGAGAGGGCCCACCAAAGTGATCCCTCTCCAAAGAAGAAACGAGTTGCCCCAAAGTTATATTTCCACGTTCACATTCAGAACTGCAGGAAGCAAATTTCTGGCAGTTTTAGATAGCTATTCTGTGCTAGCTTCCAGGCACTGCATATGCAGAAATATTAAAATCCAGTCTCAGGGAAGCCATCAAGAATTATTAAACAGACATTTGTGGCTGGGTTTTAAAATGTATTTTCATTTTACTGGACAGGAAGATAGGCCAGACCTGGCGACCCAGTTGCTCAATTGAGTTCTCTCCAAATCTACCCAGCAAAGAAAGAGAAGCCAAAGTGCTGATGAAAGGTGAGGCCAGGTTGGCATCCAAGGAAAGCAGAACAAGAGGGTGAATGAGTAGCAGAGAGAGAATTCAGGTTATGGTTTGCAAATACTTCCCTTGCAAGTTGAGAAAAGAAATATGAAGATGTGTGCCATGTGTGTCTCTGTATATGATGCAGACGTGTGCATTTATATGTGTGTATATATCCACATTCAGCTCCTTTAGCAGTCACGATCACAGAGGAATCCAGTAGGACCAATAAGGTCTCATTTCTGGCAGAATGTTTCCCCTGCTAGAGATCCCACAGCTCCAGAGGTCTCT